TTGTAACCCCTCCTGTTGCTGTATTGTAACCCGTCCTGTTGCTGTGTTGTAACCCTCCTGTTGCTGTATTGTAACCCTCCTGTTGCTGTATTGTAACCCCTCCTGTTGCTGTATTGTAACCCCTCCTGTTGTCGTTCCCAGGCAGCCATCGGTGTTCATCTGACACAATAGGTTAGTTTAGTTTTCTGGAATTTTATATGAATGACATGTTTCACATGGTAGCTATTGCTTTTTGTTCTTCTTTACTCAGTGTAACTATCTGGAGAGTCACTCTTCTGTGGTCCCGTCTAGAGTTCATTTCTTTTTATTGCTGATAACTGTTCTGTTGTCTGATCTGTCAGACTTCATTCATTTCCCTCTTGATGAGCATTGAGGATGTTGCCAGTTTTCAGCTATTGGAAATCCGGATTTTATGCATATTTGTGTACAAGTTTTTGTGTGGACATGTTCTTGATGCAGGTGCTATCTTAAATTACAAAAACATCATGTAAGATTCCTTAACTTACACATGTATAGAGGAGAGGCCTGGAGTTAAACACCTGTCCATGGTTGTTTGAGCCAAATCTAAATTTCTTTAACACTTTGTTATAAGGTTATTATAACATGTGTAGTATATAACATGTATAGTAGCATAATCTAAGCTTTTTTTTTTTTTGGTTTTTCTTCCCCATCTATTAACAGGGTTTCCCTATATTTATTATGACACCTGTGTGCATGTGGGTAGGAGGCAGCCCCTGCTACTGGGTTTTACTTTGTCCCTCAGACCTTTTATGCATGTTTGAACCTGGCTCCATGTGCTGAAGAGTCCTGGTTTAGTGGATCTATAACCTTGTTGCCCAGGCCTGACTTTGGTGCCCTTGAACCTCTGAGTATCAATATGTAACCAGCTGCCTGGTTAGGTCACCAGTGCCCAATCTCTTTGTGACCAACCTTCACCCGTCCAGGGATCAGACCTGCTTCTGCTGCTAGTCAGGCTCTTGCTGTCTGATAACCGGCCCTCCTCAGGCCTTCCTCTTGATTCCAACCCCCCCCCCCATATCCACCTGTTAGTCTGGAGTTTTCTCCCTGTGCTATTTGAGCCAATCCAGATGCCAGTGTGTGGCTCGGTCTGCTCACCTGGCCTTGGGGGTGTGATGGCTTTGCTGGACTAAAGCAAACAGAAAGGCCTCTGCTAGGCAGCGGGCTGGGTTCAGAGAGACTGATCATTAGTCCTGCCAGTAAATGACGCCAGACCTGCTGCCACTGTCACCATCTGCTGGTGACAGGCAAAGTTGACACGAAGTCCCGCTTCTGCAGAGTGGTTTGTCTGCATATAGGGGAGGTCTTGAGCTAACATCTTAGGTAGAAGGTCTGTTCAGTGTGTACTTGCGATTTGCACCAGTTCCCTGTCTTGTCTTCCTCCCTGGTACGTGCGTCAGCCACACACACTTCTTTCCGTTTGTCCAGCATACTTGCCTCATTTCCACCTTAATTTAGGGCCTTTGCATCTGTTAACTGCTCTTCTTTTTTGAGACAGAGCCTCACTTTATTGCCCTTGGTAGAGTGCCATGGCATCACAGCTCACAACAACCTCCTCATCTTGGGCTTAAGTGATTCTCTTGCCTCAGCCTCCCAAGTAGCTGGGACTACAGGCGCCTGCCACAACGCTCAGCTATTTTTTTTGTTGCAGTTGCCACTGCTGTTTTATCTGGCTGGGGTCAGGTTCGAACCCACCACCCTCAGTCTATGGGGCTGGTGCCCTACTCACTGAGCCACAGGTGCCACCCAGTTAACTGCTCTTCTTAGGACACTATAGATCATCAAACAAGCGAGGCTTCCACCATCATTCACATCCCAGGAGGAATGGGGTCACCTCAGCAAGGCCCGCCTTGTCTGTGCTACCCCACACTCCACAGCGATCGTGACTTATATTTTCATAATCTCTTTATTGCAGTTATCATGACTCATTCCTTCCACTCATTTATTATTTGTTAATTGACTTTGTGCACACACCTACATATGCATATGGGGACCGTGACAGCAAGGAGGATAGAGCAAAACAATGTTGACACTGAGCAAAGGGGCGGCCGGTGAATATGTGCTGCATATACGAATGCATAGATTACCTCTGTCTGCCCCGGGAACTCCTGTTTACCTTTGGAAATACAACTTAAATGGCATTTCTTTTAAGAACCTCCCTAACAGGATTTGGTTTTTCTCTCTTTATTCTTAAGTTTCCATTATTTTCTCTTTTATGGTACAGCTGCCATTCCCCCATTCTTACTCTGAAATGTAGTAGAATCCAGGGGGAATGTTTGACTAATTTTAATATAGATTTAAGAATTACAAACACAACCAGTGTTGAGAAGATATGTGTTGAAGTCAGGAATACGTGAAAATGAATTACAGTATAAGACTTGATAATATTATTCTTTTTCTTATTATGAAATATTTAAAGCATGCATAAAAGAATCAATATTATAACCAATACCTGTATACCCATCACCAACTTTAAAAATTAATATTAAATATTAATATTACATTAGTGATAATGTTAAAAATTACTAATAAATTCTTTTGCAGCAGCCTTTCATTTTCTTACCTGAAGCAATCACAATCCTGAATTTCATATTTATCATTGGATGTCCATGTATCTGAGTGTGAGCATTTTACCATTACTGTCTGTGTGTGTGCCATGTGTGAGTGTCTATTCTGCTTGTTTTTAAGAAGTGTGTGGTCTAAACTCTTTTATAATTGCTTTTTTCTACATTATGTTTCTCAGATCCTCCATGTTGACGCATGTGGGTTAGAATGCACTGGTGAGACCACTTACTTTGACTGCTGTGTAGTATTCCTTTATGTAGCGATTTCACAGTGTCTTGTTCATTATCTTGCTGAAAGGCATTTTGTTTTCCCTTTTAACTTTTACAGGCAACACTCATACTGCAGTGAATATTCTTTTACAATTTTCCATTGCGTCTTACGTATTTGCACCAGCGCTTACACTGAGATGTGGAGCTTCTGGGTCAGAGGCCGTGACACTGTGTAGGGCATTGTGATTAGGGCACAGGTGATGGAGACAGGTGGCTGGGTTCAAGTCCCTGCACTGCCACTTGCTACCCTTCCCAGGAAGCAATGGGCACCAGCTATTTTCAGCTGCAGCCTCTCGTGAGCATGTGAGACTTACCTCAACTCCCGGCATCAAGCAGTCGGCTTGGAAAAGTGCCTGTTGGCTCTGGCAGGATCCGAGAGGGCCAATTCCCAGCTGCCACTCCTGCTTCTGCAGCCAGACCCCAGCAGGCCTGTGGCTTCGCACACAATCACCACTTTGCATTTCTGTATCATTTCTGGTCCATGGAGAGGTTTGTTTTGAGCTTGGAGAATTTTTTTTAAGTTTTTCCTTTTAATATTTTATTTATCACTGCTGTGTGTCTAGAGCAGAGTTAGTGCATCAAAACGGGATTTGTGTGTGTGTGTGTAACCTTTACCAGGAGTGGATAATACCTTTGCAACTTTTTAAAATATACACATATCTTTAAATAATGTAATTATGGATTTTTGGAACTGGGAGGTATTTTGGTGGGTAATGAAGGCCAATAACCTCATTTTGTAGGTGAGTTTTCAAGAAATTGAATGATTTTCTGGTGTCACATATCTAGTTGGTGGTAGCAGGGCCAGACCAAAGCCCGTGTGTCCCCTCAGCAGCCCTTTTGCTTCAGCCTCCCTGACCTCAGCTTGGTCTGCCACATATATTTACATATAACGTGCTCTGTTTAAAGAAATGAAGAAATGTTGGTATTTAAGCAATGAGAGAAATGATGCCATGTTTTTAAACTGATATACAGTGTTTTCTCTTGGAAAATATTGAGGTACAAGTAAGAATATAGTATTTATTGCATTGAACTCAACACCAAAATCATTCCTTTCTCTCTGCGGATTCCGGCTGCATTTGCTTTCCTTGACTTTATGGCATTTATGAGGATGGGCCCCTCAGTAATGGCATTGACACACCCAACCATGATTTTCACTGGACCTGATAATGAACTGTGATGAATGGAGATGGCCAACACTTACCTGTGTTTTTGCCATTATGTAGAAATGGCAGGTAGTTTAATTTTCAAAAAGAGAAACAAAAAACCAAAACAAAACACTAAGCCAGCAAATATTCCTACATTTAGAATTTCTTTACTTTTTTAGGATATAAATTTAGAATCTGGTTTCTTTGTTAAAGCCTCTGGAACTGTTTTATTCTATTTCTAGATCTTTTAGCTGTGCCTAAGCATCCGTATGCTGCCATGGAGAACTGGGGACTAAGTATTTTTGTGGAACAAAGAATACTGCTGGATCCCAGTGTTTCATCTATTTCTTATTTGCTGGATGTCACCATGGTCATTGTTCATGAGATATGTCACCAGGTATGAGCAAGAGGATCAGGGTGTAAGTATCCCATGTGAGCTGCGGAGAATGCGGGGTGACTTCACATGCCTAGATGACTACACTATCACCCTCCCAATTAAGTTTTAATTTTACATGGAGCACTGTGTAGCTCTTTTTGGAAGATGTGTTATTATTCTCAGATGACAGCACAAACAAAAACAAACATGCTGATCTTATCAAGTAAGCCACTGTCGTCCTGTCCCTTGGGGAGTGAGGTGGCTCTGCCATCACAGCCTCTCTGGAGCCCCTGCAGTCCCTGCTATCAACCCCACTCTAGTTCCGCGTGGTTATCAGCATGTGTCTATGGTAAGTGCAGCCCCGGCGTGATTTATTGCTTGGCTGTAAGATGCCGCTGAGTTTTGTGTACGTGTCAAAATTTCCTTTTGCTGAAATCAATTTGTCATTCCCCTTTCCCTCACATGGACACTTAGGAAGCCTCTCACTAACTCAGCCGTGGACGTTTTCTTCTCAAAGGATTGATATTTTTTTGTCTTGACGTGTTTACAAATTCATATGTAAATTAGCCAACTTTGTAGAGAAGCTAAGACAAAATTAATTTCATTTTGATTTTATGCACTTTCTTTCAACAAGTGGAAGGTATTAGAGAGATTTTGCATGCTCATCTGAATCTTGATTCTAGTGAAAAAATATCACTGAAAATAGATGTTCATGCTGATAGAACTCAGTGCCCATCCAGGTTGCCAGTAACTGTGGGCGGTTTTTAAGTTAAACACTGGAACTATCACTGTAATGTCGTATGACTTCCATATACCATAAACCCAAAACCTTTTTAAAAGCTAGAAAAGCTGAAGAAAGAATGATGTGGAAAATGCGACCAGTGAAGAGGGTGAGTTTTTTTTTTTAAGGTGCACTGTTAAGTGCTAATAAATGAATACCAGATGAGTTGGAGAGCCCATAAATCCATTTACTGAAATACCAAGGGTTTTTGCAGCAGCCCCTTACAACAGTGTTTTTCAACCTTCTTTATCTCACGGCACACTTGGCACACTTAAATTACGTTGATAAAAAAAGAATGAAAAAAAAAAAGAATATACTTATTGTGCTTTGAACTTCTTTTGAAAGTAATTTGATTAATGATCTTTAAAACTTTTTGAAACACACCTAAGTTCCCCTTGTTGAAAACCAGGGGTCTTCGATGTTGGAACCAGAGACTTAAAGGCACCCAGAGAAAACCAGGGCTCCACCTCTGTGCTAAAGAGGGTGGTTTCCACCTAAACCACAACTCTGAGGCAAACCCAGATTTCTTTTGAAAGATTTCCATCAATTGCAGGTTAGATGCACATACAGTTCTGTTGAAATGAAAGCACACTGATGACACCAAGGTGCAGAGTGAGCCACACGTTCCGTACTCTGTTCCTTCCTTATTGTAGCTTCCTGTGTGGGAATGAGCCAGAAGCTAAGAGAAATTTAACACCTAACAGAAATTTATTTCTTTTTTTTTCTTCTT